TGTCTACCAGTAATAAAGTAGATTTTAAACACTATGGTGCATTCATTCACACAATGAAATACTATGCAATTAAAAAAAGGCCAAATGTGCAGGGAAAAAGATCAAACCACTGTCACACAGTGTGGATACATAACATAAACCTAATGTTGAAGGGAAAAAATGAGGGCGCACTGTTTGATTCCGTTAATAAAAACTAATCTGAAGTTATGACAGTCAGAACAGTGGTGTTCTTTGTTGGGGTAATGTCTGGAAGTGGTGACATTCCAGGTTTCTGAGGTTGTGGCTCTACCCACACCTTAATCCAGATGATAAGCACACATGTTCCGTTTATAAAAATTTTTATATAGAACAGCATATATTTTCCTGAATATATGTTAGAGCCATTACAAGTTTACAAACAAAATGGTAATAGCAGATATACCCATTAAAAATGTAGCGCTGATTTTATCAGAACATACTGTTATATCAGTGTTCATACACAGAGATGAAAAAATAAGTAAAAGCTGTAAATATGTAGTGGTTTTCTATAGTTACAACTATTTTCTTCTACAAATATGGCTTTCAGAACTTAGCTAAATTTTGCCAGTCTGGTAATGATAGTGTGAACTTAAGAGTGGAAATCTAAACATCCTGTAAATTTCAAATGATCTCATTTTTATATTGAATAATTCAAATTTTATTGTAATGGTCAGTGGCAAGCAAAAGTCACGTCTTGAAAATAAGATGTGTGTATTTTCATGATAAATAAAAATTTCCCAGAAACGTAGTAACATAATCCTTTGGTGTGTATCCTGATATTATTAGTTGGACTCCTCCCAACTTCCAGGGCCAAGGAGTGAAAACACCAGCCATTGCCAAGTTCTCACAGGGCATTCTTTGGACCACCAGCCAGAGAACTGTGCATTATAGTTATTTAGCCAACCAGTCTGTTTTACAATTCTTCTATGTATACCACCCATTTGTGCTTAAACACCTTTTTGTTCCACTTGTTTAGAATAAGATGTTTTATTAACTCAACAACTTTGTAAAAATGATTAAGGGAATTTCTGCAGAACACTGTAATTCTGAAATTATAAAGTAAAAATACTTTATTGGCTTTTCTTTAGAAACTACCCTCTACACACATACATATATACAGAAACACATATATATATACGCACACAGGTATGCATGTATTATGGCAAAACTATTAAGAAATCAAATCAGAGGTTGGCAGAGACTTAGGGTTAGGGAAGGAAATTTGTTTCAATGTTGGGGGCACTAATGAGTTTTCTGAAGTGACAGAAATACCCTAAATCTGAGTTGTGATAGTGATTATACTGTATATACTCATCAAAACTCAAACTATCTGTTTTATTTTGCAGTACTGGAGTTTGAACTCAGGGCCTATACCTTGAGCTACTCTGTCAGCCCTTTTTTATGAAGGGTTTTTTTGAGATAGGGTCTCATGAACTATTTGTCCAGTCTGGTTTCGAACCATGATCCTCCTGATCTCTATCTCCTGAGTTAGCAGCTAGGACTATAGGAGTGAGCCACCGGCGCCCAGCTTCTAACTATCTTAAAGAGTGACTTTTAGTGTATGTAAGCTAATACCTTGCTTAAGTGTACACACACACACATACACACATATACATACACCAATATATATGCACACACTACATACACATGAATGTGTTTGGCATGTAAGCATGTTGTGTTCTGGTAGGGAAAGAAAAGGTCTTGAAGAAGTGACTTATGTTTACTGAGTGAAGAGTACAAATAGCAAAAATATCTAGGGTAAGATTGTCTCAACAGTCTAACAGTCAAGGAGCATACATGATCACAATTTACTGGAATACCTCAATTCTCAGAGGCAACAAACTTGACATGGTGAAGTATGGTATGCAATCAGTCTGAGAGTTAAAAAATAAGCAAACGAAAACCCAGTAAGTCCTTTTGGAAGCTTTAGGAAGATACAAAGGCTAAATCTTTCCACTTTTCTACCTTCTACTGTCCAGACAGTGTTATATCTCTTTTTTTCCCTTTGTAATATATTTCCAAATTATTTTGTTCGTTTATTTAAATATTAAAACAACTAAGTTCTCTATACTATAAGCATGTTCTACTGGTTCAAGAATAAAATTAAAACAAGATATCATCTGTAAAGCAAATATATTTATTATGCACTTTCATATACATAGGATTTTTGCATAATATAATACAAGAAATAAAATAAAACTTTTACAATGTGAAATTCAATGTACATTTTAGGTTATTTACATACCCTCAAACCAAGGGAAAAACAAAAAAAAGGCATTTGTCCACAACTACATTGCTGAAAGTGTAAATGGAGGACATTAAGCAAAATAAACATTTGCATAGCCAAAAGGACGTGAAGAAGAGTATTCTTTTTCTTTTTTTTTTTAAAGTAGTGAACTATTTTTGGCAAGGATTCTGGTAGGGGTGGGACTAAGGAGGGGACAAAAGATATTGGCTGTACATTGTAGTACATACTGATTTCTTGTCAATTTTCCCTCCCAAACCTTTCCTAGAAACCTACAAATTTTTAGTTTAAGTTACCGTATTTTTATCACTTCCCTTATTATCAACTCATAACATCTAAGGAATGGGCATGATGGGATGTTATAAAAGCATGTGGTATCTTAAGTTGTGTAGTGGCAATAGCAGATATATAAAATTTAAACACTTTAATTTCAAAAATAGCTATTTAGGAGTTTTACATTTGGAGGACTGTTTCTCTTTCTTAATGGAGCAGAAGCCATTGTTTGGGTATGGTACTAAATCCCCCACAGAAACAATAAGGAAAGTAGGGTATCTCCAGCACCCTTATCATCCTTATCCCAACTGAAGATCATTCTTGTTCTATTTTAAAACACAATGTATATAAAAAACATCCAGAGGAATATACTTATGAAAATCTTATTTTTCCAACAAGCTCTCTTCCTATCAACTTTCTCAAGTGTATAAAGGTGGGTATGAAAACATTTAGCTCTTTGAAAAACATAAATCCCTAATGCAACAAGTCATATCTTTGCCCTTTGGCCACAAGGTGCAAGTTTGTAAAAACAATAAAATTAAATAAATACAATTTCAATAATTCAAGGTTAATAGAAAACCTGGCAGCTTTCAGGGTTCTCTTTCTAAAGAAAAATACACCTAATAAGAAATCAGAGCTTCATCCTCTACAATAATGCAAATGCACTGTATTTGAGATGTGAATGAAGTCAGTTCTAATATTAGCATGTGTTCTTATTTATTAACAGAATCATTAACACTTTTAAGGCTACTTTGCAAGAGTCCTATTAAGTGTAGTTAATAAATGTCCCATAGGGACAAGAATTCAATACTTGAAACATTCACATTCGAGTTATCAATATTGCCATGTCATCTTAATTTTGATTGAACTTATCAACTTATCTCCTTGTCCTGATTATGACTTACAGATGACATAGACGAAATGAGTTTTCCTGACTTTAAAAAACAAAAGAAAAACCTTATACATGATTCACAACCAATTACACATTTCTATTTCCATGAATGCTGCAATCCATGTGTCCTTCATATATGATACATTACTGACCTCTGTTATTAAAAGACTTTCTCAGTAGTAGTAATGGTTTTGTGCTGAATCTCCAAATTCTCTTTCCTCATTCCTCCTTATTAATAGCACATGGACAGAATGGAATTTCTGGAATCTATAAGCTTAGTGGGCTCATTCAAAGATCAAATTCACTACATCATTATGTCAACCTTTCCAAACATATGTATGACCCATCTCATCTGGCTCCACTGGTTTAGAGTACATCTAGAGGCCAGTGCTCTGAGTTGAATGCTCATTTCCTTGATCACAAGCACCTCCTTAACCTTGGAATCAGCCACCCTGCATTCAGCTGTCCAAAGAAGAAAACAGGAAAGAGTATGTGGACAGAAAAGTGCAAATCCATCACTTTTATCAAATAAACTATACACATGTGCTGTGACTGATGGGTGAGTGGTATCACCTGCGAAGGACAGCACAGCATACATTCCAGATTATTCATATAATTAAGCCATTCAAATTAACCCAATTGACTCTGAGTGGGGCATTTTGGTCATGCAGTGATTTTCAGGTAGAAGCAGCTAAGAGAAGCCAGCATTCACACTTACACAGATAAATAATATTTCATTTAGCTGGCAGGAGGAGATAACGGTGTTTAGTGAATTGCTCAGGGATCAAAACTCTCCCTCAGACAGACAGGTGCATCTCCCTCCGCACACATGTGCGACGGAGGCATAGCCTTGTCCTGGGAATTTTCATGCCTCTTGAAGGTGGAATGACAAGTGGGGTGAAAGTTGAAATGCACCCCAATGATGAAACGGACTTTCTTCTGCTTAGTCTGCTTGATCACTTACTTGCTTGCTTTGACACTTTGAGCCAGAGACAAGGACTATTGTATGGGGAAAATCCAGATTTTAACTACTTAGAGCAGCTCCCTATACTACTAGAAAGTATACTTTTGGAAAACCTGTCAAGAAATCCATTTTTCACCTCACTGTGGCATTTATACAGAAACTCATTTTATCCATTGCTGAAGGTGTAGTGAACATAGAACAGTTGCAAGGTTTATTTATTGAGCAACATCTTAAAGATACGAGAAACAGGCACACACTACAATGCAAATGTGACTGAAATACAACACTTAACATTTCTTTTCCCACAAAAAGAAAAAATAAATACAAGGAACACTGCCTTTTCATATATATTTGACAATGGCACATGCACACTTATCAAATCCTAACTTAAAATACTTTACTCAAAATTTTTCAGCTTTACCAGGGAACTACAGTATACACCTGTATTTTTTTTTTTTAATTTAAAGTGCTTATTCTGTGTAGTGAATACAAAGCACACAAAATGAACTTTCTAAGCACAGAGGGTTACATTGAGAAGGCAGCCTTACTACTGAGGCACGTTACAGTAATTAAGGTAACTGTACTGCGATATCACAGTCTTCATCTTATCAGCAAATCAATAGGCATTTTATGTTTTCATCCAGTAGCTGAAGAACCACTCCAATCACAATGTCTTCTGTTTCTCAGAGTAGGAAACTAATGCAAAAATTAAAAAAACAAATGATTTCTACATTTCACTTACTATATAACCATATAGTTTTAAGACCTTACAAAAGAACATGAAAATCCATATATTCCATACATTATGTAAAGCATGAATTTAACATACTTATTTATAAGAAATTCATTATTTAACTTATAACTGACTTTTAAAGATCCCACAAAATGTTTACCTTAATTCACATGACTTACTACTTTATATTTACACCTTGCCTTTGCAAAAGATATCACCAGAGCTGGCAGTTATGCCATTAGACTTAAATATTTTTAAGGTAAACCATATTGGAGAAGTATCTTTTGAATGAAACTTTTTAATCCACATATTTACACTGAAGGATGGTAATTACTGAAAGATATGGAGAATTTATTTATAATAATGTTTCCCTATCATATCCCTAAAATGTTTTCTAAAATCAAAAGAAACAAGAGATGTTAGTTTGCTTATGAGTACAATTTTGTTAAAGGAATAAAAATGGTTAACAAAGTGGATCAATAATAGCTGTATTATGAACAAGAAGTTCCTAATGACAGCTTCAGATTTATGTTCAATATGGAAAATGAGCTTCTGAAAAAGCATCCATAATACAAAAATTATGTACATATATTTTCCCACTAACTTTTCCTGTCTAATTAGTGAAGTATCCTTTGTGGTGGAGAGGAGAAAAACATTTTTATTTAATAAAAACTACTATTTTGTTTAAAAATAATGGGCTCTAACTACCTATCTTGCCAAAATTCTATTTATTATCCTTTACACCTATTCTTGTTATGTGAAAATGTTACTTGGAAGATTCGTAAGAGGTCTATCATAATAAAACCACCTTTACTAATTACAGCTTTGGCTTCTTCTTGGGTGAAATAGAATGAAATTAACACTTACTATCTCCATATACAATTTTCTCAAAGCAAAAAAAAAGACTATTACAGGAGTAGCTCCACCTTCTAGATCTCTAAAGAGGGAGTCTCTTTAGAGGTGAGGATGCCAGTTCCTCACCTGGCATCCATAAATGCGGCACTCATTCATTCATTCACTTATTCAACATATTTTCTCAGTAAGAACTGAGAAACTACTGTAAGTTCAAACACTATTCTAAGTACACAGAACACATCATCAAACAATTTGCAGTCAGGGGAGACAAATGGTAAACATAGTAAGTAAATATAATACTTATAGTATGTTAAATATAAGTGCTTTGGATAACATAGAGGACACAGAAATGCTACAAGTAGGAGAACTCAAACTGAAGAGGATGGTAAGAGGTGGACAGATGGCATTTGAACAGAGAACAGAAGGGCAGGGAATTGGCTATGAGAATATTAGAAAAGGGCATTCCAAGTAGAAAGAACTAGATTTTTGATTGTTTATTTTTGGTGGTACTGGGGTTTGAACTCAGCACCTCATGACTTTTTGGGCTTTAGTTATTTTTCAGATAGGGTTTCCTGTTTTTGCCAGGGGCCAGCCTTAGACTGAGATCCTCCTGCTTACACCTCTCATGTAGTTGGGACTACAGATGCTCTTCACCACATCCTTATTGAGATGTGGTCTCATTAACTTTTTGCCCAGGCTGGCCTTGAACTTAATCCTCCCAATCTCCCCACTCCCAATGACCTGGATCTCTGTCTGCCAAGTAGCTGGAATTACAGGCGTGAGCCTTCATACCAGTCTGACAGTTTATTAAAAATCTTACCTTTTATAGTGGTGTTTCCTTTTTGTAATTGAAGCCAGGATCAGAACCTTCGATCTGAAGCTTCAGGGCTTGCTTAAGGCTTAATTCTGTCTCTGAGGAAGGATACCCCTCTAACACTTCCTGATGCCCTCTATCTTGTACTGTTCGTGGGACGGAAACCCTACCAAGAAAAACCTGGTTGCTCTGCAGGTGGTAATTTGGATTTGTCATTATTCCGTTTCTCTTCTTCTGCTCCACACTTTGTTGATGAATGAGGAACTGCTGCTGAGCTCGGCTGACTTCCTGTGGAGCTGAGGGTATCATGATTTTGCACTGAGCTTCTGCCGGCATTTGTTTAGGTGGTACGCTAGTCCCAGATTTGGCTACAGGTCCTCTTTTGTCAAACTGAGTCATTTCGTATTCTAAAACCTTTGGCTGTGAAGAATTACTTTGTTTAGCTTTTTTCCCAGCGGACCCCGATTTGTTGGAATTTTCTGATTTCCCCCCTTTATTTGCTTTAGTTGACTTCAAACTAGGCTTTACTTGACTCCACTCAAACTCACTACTTGGTGAATTATGACTTTGTCCTAAGGATTGTGTTGTAGAAGAGGGGGAAACAATTGACTGTCGACTTCTACTGCGTGGCAACGAATGCTGCTGAATTTGTTCTGTAAATGACAAGCTGTGAAAGCTATCAATTGGCACTGTTTGAGCTGTTGCTGTAGATGAAGTCGTTCTCAGAGACGAATTCTTTGAGCTTTTCAGGGAATTATTTGACAATGATGACTTCTGCCGATCAACTGTCGAGTCTGGAGACTCTGAGGGAGAGCTGAAAGCATGAGCGGGGCCGTTCGGCAAACCTCGTAAAGAAGGCTGCGTATCCCCTCCACCAGTACTACCAGAGCTATTTGATTTAATTGTTAGTGACTGCATTTTTGATGATGCAGACTGCAGAGGTTTTTGCTCCATTGTGTGAACAGGGGATGGGGAACAGCCATTCAGACTAGATGCACCATATTTTTCTAACAATTTAATTATTTGGGAATGTCCATTTTTGGCTGCCACACGCATGGCAGTGCGGCCAAATTGATCAGCATGGTTTGGATCAGCACCGTGCTCTAACAACACCTGCACAACATCAATGTGTCCTTCCTGGGCTGCGATACAGAGTGCAGTTGCACCTTGATTACAGGTATGGTCCACAATGGCACCATGCTCAATCAGAAGCTGAACCACTTTAACGTGGCCCTGCCAGGCTGCAGACTGCAGAGCAGAGCGCTTTTCATTGTCTGCAGCATTGACGTCGGCGTGGAAGGCCATGAGAACCTGCACCATTTCCATGTGGCCTTGCCAGCAGGAAACATGAAGTGCCGTCCTTCCTTCAGTATCACTTGCTTCTACATTTGCACCATTTTCTAAAAAATATTCAGCCATTGTAAGTTGGTTTTCTAGGGCTAAGATATAAAGTGTGGGCCTTCCATCAGCATCTTTGTAGTTAACATCAGTTCCATGGCTAAAAAGCAACTCCACAATGTCTCTGTGTCCTTCTAAGGCAGCAACTCGCAGTGCATTTCTTCCATCATAACCTCTTTGATCAATATTGGATTTATTTTCCAATAATATCTGAACACAATCATAATGACCCTCTTGTGAAGCTAATATGAAAGGGATTCTGCCATCATTGTCGATCTCATTTGTTCTAGCACCTTGCTCAATAAGTGCTTCACATATTAATCTGTGGCCTTCAAAAGCTGCCATGTGCAGAGGTGTCCACCCAGCATCATCTCGATGATTTTCATCTAAGCCTCTATCCAGCAGAGTGCGGACCACCTCGACATTTCCCTGTGCTGAAGCTATGCTAAGGACTGTCCTGCCTTCACTATCAATACTATCCACAGCTGCACCCCAAAACAAAAGTGTGTTGACTACTGAAGCATGACCCATAGAAGCTGCTGCTAACAGGGGCGTTCGACCATTGTTGTCTGTGTGATCTACGTCAGCTCCTCCTTCTAGAAGCAAGTCAACCACATCAACATGTCCTTCATAGGCAGCTACAAGCAGTGGAGTCATGCCATCTTTATCACAATGGTCTACTTCAGCACCTCGATCAATTAAAAGGCTAACGACTGACGCATGCCCTTTACTTGCAGGCACACAAAGTGCAGCTACAGAGAGTGCAGTTCTGCCATCGACGTCCTCATGATTTACTTCTGCCCCATGGTCCAGCAGGTGTTCCACGATCTCTCTGTGTCCCATGTACGCTGCTGCTATCAGAGCAGTTCGCCCTTCATTATCAGCTTTGTTAACTTCAGCACCATGTTGCAGCAAATTTAGAACAATATCCTCATGGCCTCCCCATGCTGCTGCTCTCAAAGCTGTTCGGCTATCAGCATCTGCACAATCTACTTTTACGCCAGCATAAAGTAGTGCAGAAACTACCTCAGTATGGCCACCCCAAGCAGCGGACCTTAATGCTGTCCAGCCATCTTGATCAGTATGATTAACATTTGCCCCACACCCAATCAAACAGTTGACCACCTTGGTGTGTCCTTGTCTAGCAGCTAGAGTGAGTGGTGTATGCCCATGAGTATCTTCTATCTCTAAATCTGCTCCTCTAGAGACAAGCAAATTCACCACATCAAGATTGCCGCTGTATGCCGCATTAGCCAGTAATGTCCTTCCATTGGAATCGCAGTGATTTACTGAAGCTCCATTATCCAGTAAAGTCCGAATGGAGTCCTCTCTTTCTAAGGCTTGTCGGACTATGCATGACGTGCGGTCATCTTCACTGTTGACATGAGCACCAGCTTTAACCAAAAGCTGCAGCACTTCTTGTTCCTTGGGGATCAAGGTAGACAGAGAGTCTCTGACAGGGGTGCCATTCCATATCATCCACAGAGCTAACTCAGCTGTTTCTAATTGTAAGTTTGAATTAATTAAGTGCAAGGCAAATTCTTGTGCTTCTAATGGTGTCAGATTCTTGGCTTGACAGGTATAACTCATAGCCAACATTCTGTGTCCTTCTGCTGCATTACAAAGATACTTCTGAGTACAGTGCTTCACATCCAGAAGCCACTCTGCAAAACTATAGTGAAACAGTATTTTAGTATTTCCTAATCCATCAACAAGAAGTTTGGAAAGGACATCTAACTTGCGTTGGAAGTCTTCCAAAGTTAATGACATATTTTTGGTCCATACTGCGTGATACAATTCTGTTATGGTCAAAGGTCGGCAGGCTGCAAGAATCACGTTCAAAATAGGTTGTACCTTTGCAAACTGTTTTCTTACAAAAAGTCTCTGACAGAGCCAAAGATATAGACCATTTAGAGTTCCTGGGATGTCACGAATCTCTCTTAACATAATGAAATTTTCTACTACTCCATCTAAAACTCGTTCCAAGTAAAGAAAGCATCCACTACTTTTGATGTGCAGTTGATTTAGCATCTCTGCAGTTTCCTTTGTGAGGTGCTGTCGCAAAGCTTCTTCTTGATCTAATCGATGAAGAATGTACTGCTGAACGTCCTTGACAATATAGGCCTTCCGAAGGTCATCTAAGCTTATTTTTCGAAAACCTGGAGAAGAAACAAAAAAGCAGGTGTCATCAGTTGAGAAGTGTATAGACACTTCTGTATCTTCGAAGAGAATGTCTTCAAACCAATAAAAATAAATTGATTAAAAATTAGTATTAATAAATCAATTAATACCTAAGTAGTATCTAAATCAGTTTTCTTTTCTTTGTGTAAAAACAGATGTATGGCAGGTTTTATATATCACAAAAGCTCCTTGGTAAGATTTTCTGAACTCCCAAATGATTAGGAAAAAAAAGAGTTGTAACAAGTAAGGTTTGTTTTTACAGGATGATCGTCTTCATACAAATAATGTACTTCCACCATATACTTGAAAATACATTAGACTTAATTATGCAATTGAATGTTACTGTCTTTACAGTGTCTTATACATTATCAAATTGAAAAAATTAAAATATCTCAGACTGTCAAGAAATAGCTTGAACCAATTAAGAAGCAATTTGACAAAATTATGCTTAAAAAACTTAAGCACTGTAAAAATAATGTCACTTAATTAAATTCGATCCAACCTAAAAATATAGCAGCTATAGCTATTTGAAATGCACTTCAATTTCATTTTCTGAAGGGACATACCAGGAGATCCAGGTTTGGATTTATTAGAAAACCATGTATTTGCTTTACAGAAGAATATACTGCTAAGGGAATGAATTCATCCAGGCAGTAACATGACCAGGTTTGCACTTTAAAGAAGAAAGAACTGGAGTGAGTCAAGACTAGTGCAAAACCTTTTAAAGAGAGGCTGGGTAAGAACTAGATGAGATCACAAAAGTTCGGACAACCATGGCAGCAATGGCAGCAAGTACAAATGGTAATTATTAACAAAGGCAGGCCATACAGCGCTTGAGGAACACAGGGAAGGAAAGAGAGGAGGAGTCAATGTTGACATTAATATCTGCCAATAAAGCTGAAAAAAGATAACATTGAAGGCTGCTAAAAAAAAAAAAAGGTTTGGAGAGAAAACTGATACTCAATTCTGTGATACCAACCTGAAGAATTTAGATGAAATGAGAAATTTATTGAAAAACATAATCTACTGAAAATGAAATGTGAAGAAATAACAAATTTACATAGCCCTAAATCTACATAAAAAGTGGAATCTATAATCTTATATATATACACACACACAATTGATACTTAAGCCTGCAACACAAATTACTTCAAAAGATAAATTTTGGCTAAAAAAAGATATTTCTGATCTGAAGAGGGTTAAAACATGCCTGGAGGTTTACTGCAATTTACATTTACCAGTGATATGATATGACTTGCCCCCAAACATTTTTCTGTGTGTCCATTTGCATTTTAGGATACAAAGGGCAACACTTGGCATGCTGCTAATAAAGTTATTGTAATAGTATCTTACATTATACAGTGTCTTAAACTTTTCAAAGTGATGCTGTGCATATGGTCTGGTTTACAGGCAAGAGTGTATTGCCCATTATGAATAAATATCTAATTAACTCAAATTCCATGATTAATATTTGAGATTATGTCAACAGCAACTAGCTAAATTGCCACAAAAGCAGATTTGGTAGCTCAGAAAGGAATGAGAGAACAACAACATTTATTGAGAGTGAACTGATTTTAAAGAAGTACTTAGGATTTGTCACCCATACTTTTTATGTCAAGCTTTACACTGGCAAAGCAGGTGCTGTGCCACTTGAACCACGCCTCCAGTTCCTATTTTTAAAGCACAGAAAGGTTAAATAAAGGGCCCAAATAACCGGTAAGGAATACAACTAAGATTCTCAGTTTTGTTTTGTTTTTTTTCTTTTTAGTCACCAGGGTTTGAACTGCAGGGTTTGTGATGGCTAGGCAAGCACTCCACCACTGGAGACACATCCCAGATGGTTTTGCTTTAGTTACTTTTTATATAGGGTCTTGTGTTCTTTTGCCCAGGCTGGCCTTGTACCGTGACCTTTTCATGTCTGAATGATGATTCTCCCATCTCTGCATTCCATGTAGGTGGGGTTACAGGCATGCACCACCATACCCAGTTGATTGTTTTGTTTGACATCGACATTTGCACTTTTTCCATGGGAATGAAAGTAGAAAGTTGAGAAAAAAATGCAGATATTTGATAGGAGAAAGAGGAGGTGGAAGGAGGGACATACAATTAATTGTGATTCATAAGTAATCATGTTAAGCAAAATAAGTCTGAGTTAGGAGAAAGACAAGTATCACATGCTTTCTCTCATATTCAGAATCTAGATCTAAGAAAAAAATGGTAAAAGGGACTCTTTACTATTTGGGTGGGAACAGCAGGATAGGGGAGGAGGAAAAGAGTATCCTTTGATGGAGGGGTGAACATAATTGGGTATACTCTGTATATATATGAAAATGGCACAATTAAACATATTTAAATGACAAAAAAGGGGGGAAATAAGAAAGGGTAACAGAGGGGGTAATGAGAATTAAGGAACTGGGTGCTGGTGCATCACATCTGCTATCCTACTTACTTGGGAGGCTGAGATCAGGAGGATCACAATTTGAGGTCAGCCCAGAAAAACAGTTCACGAGAACCCAGCTCCAAGAAAACCAGAGAAAAATGAACTGGAGGTGTGGCTCAAGAGGCATAGCACCTGCTTTGCAAGTGTAAAGCCCTGAATTTAAGCTCTAGTCCCACTAAACAAACATAAAACCCAAAAACAGAATTAAGGGGCATGGGGCTTAGCTCAGTAGTATAGAACTTCCTATCAGTGCAGGGTACCGGAATCAAGCTCATCACCACACACACACACACACACACACACACACACACACACACACACCATATACATGCTCACAAAAACAAAACTAAGAGTATCTATTAATAAAAAATTTAGATACCTTGAGTACTGAAAATAACTACTTTAATTATTTTGTTTTTACAGCACTGGGCATCAAATCCAGGCCTTTATTCATGGTGGAAGTTTTCTACCATTGAACTACTCCCAGTCGAATTACTTTTTAACCAAATTCATGTAATCTCCTTATTATGAATATATGAAATTTACTATATTGCTATAAAAGAACATAGAAATTATAAGGTGATGCTGAAAAATGATCCACATTTTTAGGGGAATAAAGACCTAATTTACTGAAATGCCAGACCACTTCCCAACTGAACTTCTGTTCTGTTGCTACTTAAGACATGTCTGCAGGTATGACATTACTCAGTGCTGGTGACATAGAATGAGGGGAATGACAGGACCAGTGCCAATGCTTACAACTGATGCCCACCAAGATTGGTTAGTATTCTGAAGAATCTACTGAAAAAATTCTTGCTGTGATAAATTACTCAAGTTGGAGCCTTATTTTTACACCATTTAGCAGAAAATATTCTATAAGAATAGAATAAATATAAAAGAAAGAACATGGAAATAGCAAACGACAATATTCAGATCATATACAGTGGATTTCAAAATTATTAGTATAATTTTAAAATACTGAAGAAACTAGTTTTAAGAATGAAGAATATGAAATAAAAGCCCTCTTAACAATTAGTAAGAAAATTACTAACATCCTGATAGAAACCTGTAAAGGTCAGACAGCAAATGCTCACAGGAAGAAAAAGACAAAGTGCTAAAATCAGATACAAAGGAAAAGAGATCAACAGTGAACAAGAAGCACAAATAAAGATTAGACAGCACACAAATGAACACATGTGCACACTTTTTTTTTGTGGTACTCACGTTTGAATTCAGGGCCTTGTGCTTGCTGGGTAGGTGCTCTACCACATGAGCCACGCCAGCCCTTTTTGCTTTAGTTATTTTTCATATGGGGTCTCACATTTTGCCCAGGGCAGGTCTCAGACTGCAAGCCTCCTTACTTATGCCCTCACATTGCTGGGACTACAGACACAAACCACCATGCCACCATGCTACCATGCCTGGCTTACTGACTGACATTTTGGGGGCGTGGTGGGGGTGGGGGGAGTTGTCTTGCTAACTTTTTCCTGGGCTGGCCACACACTGTAATCCTTCTGATTTCTGCCTCCTGAATAGCTGGCATTGTAGATGCAAACCACTACACCAGACTTTCAAATTCACAAATACTTAAAAACATATAATTTGATGCTATTGGAAATATAAAGAAACAACACTTTCAGATGGGAACATAATGCTATATAGTTTTTGTAAAGCAATTTGATAATATGTATTAACAACTTTTGTAATATTCTTAAATTTTTATCTCCAAATTCAAATTTTACCATCAACAGGGAGGTGATCAAGTGTTTGTGTAAAGCCCAGCGTTTTTAATAGTTTACATCCCAGGGAAGGAACAGAACAAGAAAATCTGATCTTAATCTTCTGATTAAGTTCCTTCTGCTTCCTAGTTCATTGCTTTTTTTTAATAAATCATCGTTGAAAGACAACAAAAATTCATTCATTTGCAAATCACTGACTGGCAGTTTTGTTCTAAGTTCTATTGTAGATGTTGGGGAGATACAGACCAGTGGGCAAAACAGGAAAACTCCTATTCTCCTAGTGGAGAAAACAGACTAGCAAGTAAGCAAGTATAAAATGCAAGCATGTTTTACCAGACAGAGTGTATGTCTAAGAAGCTAGGGAGACAAACATGACATGGAAGCAGAAAACAGTCTATGGGACAGTCCCTGAGCAGTGACTAAGGGAAGAGCATTGTAGTCACAGGACTCATATGCAAGACCCCAACAGAGAAAAGCATTGACAGAATGTACAGAAAAGAGAAATCTCATACTGGTAGAAGTATGAGTTATTTTAAGCTCATTAGTTAGCAATTTTGCAAAATTAACTAAAATTCAAACTATACATACACCCCAGCAATCCCAAGCAGTCTCATAGTATAAACCTGTAGCATGAGCATGTAAGAAGATAAGGACAAGAATATTCATGAAGCATTTTTTTCTTTTTTTTTTTTTTTGCAGTACTGCAGTTTGAACTCAGGGCCTTGTGCTTGCTAGGCAGGTACTCTATCACTTGAGTCTCTTCCCCCAGGCCCTTTCTAAAGCATTTTTTGTAACACAGGTTGATTATCCCCGATCTGAAATGTTTGAGACCAGAAATACTTTAGAATTCAGATTTTCTCAGATTTTGGAGTACTTGCATACCCATAATGAGATGCCTTGGGGACTGAGACCCAAATCTAAATATGAGATTACTATGTTTCATGCTATACACATAACCTGGAGGTAATTTTATACAAAAATTTTAATAATTTTGCACATGCAGCAAAGTTTCATGGTATGGAATTTTTTTCACTCCTGATGTCATGTTTTGGATTTGGAAGCATTTCAGATTTGGATTTTCAGATTAAGGGTGGTAAACCTGTACTAACAAAATGAAAACAGTCTCAATGTCTATGAACAGAATAATGGAAAAGTAAAGAGGACATGTATTCATAGGAAAGAACACTATGCAGCAGTTAAAACCAATGACCTGGATTGCTTATAATAGGGCTTAACAATAATTTTTCCTAAAAAATTAGAATAAAATGCTAAATATTATATGAGCAACATATTTGTGAAGCCTGTACTCTCTATTAGGCATTGCTGTATGTGTGTCACACATAATTTGTCACTTCACCTTATACACTCCACTTTACAGATGAGGAAACTGAGGCACAGAGACACTACATAGCACAGAAGTGTGAGTAGAAAGAATGTAAAGTTAGCTAAGGATCCTGGGTCCCTCTGGTGAGAAGAGAGAAGCAGGAAACAGGCTATAAGGGGCTTTGGTTTTACTCACACCTGGCCTTGTAAGGGTGATGTCAGTGTTAGCTACTACCACTTTAATCCCCAAACTTTAGCCAACTACATTTTTATCAATAACAACAAAAAAGAATACTACACATGGAAACCAAAAATGCTGCCATGAATAGCAAGGGAACCTAGGAGAGAAGACCTGAGACAGGGAACAAAGCTGGTTTTAGAAAATCCTTTTAACAATTTAGGAAAACGTTTCTCCATACTGCAAAACATATAGGACTACTGAAAAGTGATATGGCTAAACAATAGCTCAGCTGGTATCTCTCCAATTATACTACACATCCCGTGACAGGGCCTATTTACACTCCTTTTATTCCCACAAGGTAAAGAAGACTGCTTCATACATTTTAATAGGAACAACCAGACTTTATTAGGGTGAGTGAAAAAAGAAAAGTAAAACTATAAACTAAGAAACAAAGAAAAGAAACTGTTCATGTGCTTTTGCACATTAGGCTGTTCTTTCATGAAAAGAAAGTACAAGAGCCATCTCCAGGCCATTAGGTCTCAACTTACAGCAAGAAAAACAGAGTAATCACCACTGATTTCTTCAAGACATAGTCACTACTCTTATGCTGTTGGTCTAGCTAGAAGTATAAAGTGATGTAGATGTAACAGTGTAATAAAGGCAGCCCCGAAGACAGAAAGCAGCAAACATGCATGAAATACTCCTATCCCTCACTAGACAGTTAGGAAAGAATTTTTTAAAAAAGGTCGTTTAAATGATTTTAAAACATACTATGGATTATTTTTAATATAATTTTTAAAGGTACAGCTGAGAATAGCTTACAGAAGGAGCCATGCCACAAATTTGCTCCTGCATACCTTGCTCTGAGACAGAAAACTAAGCACTAGTTCACCAGTGTAAAACATTTTGGAAGGCAGTAAATAATTATGCTTACCAGTAAACATTTTAGTAACAGCCTTACTCTGTTTTCGAGCAGAACAGAGAAGCAGTAGCCATGGTGGAAAGAACTCATGGTGACAAGCTAACAGCTCTGCCACAGTCCCAGAGAAGCTGGTGGACGAGTGTTCCCCTTCAGCAATGTTACATCCTTCATCCACAGAGTCCACCAGCAGGTACAGGCTCTGTGGGGGAGGCTTCATCCCCAGGAGTGGGAGCAGAACACACCTGTAAACACAATGCAGGAGCATGTTGAATGTCATGGGCTACAATGCTAGCATTCACTACTCAAATACTAGTATTATGAAAGCAAAGTTTCAGATAAAGAAGTTTACCCATTTCAAGTCTTTACTGTAAGAAGAATGCTGGTTCTAAACAGTTCACATCTCTGATAACACTGTTTCCAGAATGTTGTGTGTGTGTGTGTGTGTGTGTGTGTGTGTGTGTGTGTGTGTGTGTGTGTGTGTGTGTGTGT